CCCCAAAACCCCAAAACCCCAAAACCCCAAAACCCCGATCTGAGTGAGGGTTATTGTTAAATAAATTATATTCTGAAATGTTGGTCAGGCCTAGCCCTAAGCATCCTAGTGGCAGTTATTCGAGAGCAGGTATTCAAAGTTTAGATTAAAATTTAGGTAGAAGAATCAAAACTTTCTCAGTGAAGTATAAACCCCAAGGTTCTAAAAGCAAGCCAGTCTCTGAAAATGTTTCCGATGATAGTTACGAAGATGAATATTCAGACCTCCAAAAGGATAAATTGCAGTTTGAGTAAGGAAATCTTAACCTTTTAGTGACATGGGTCTCTTACTTGAGGATGAACAGAATGTGAAAGCTGAGCTATCGGATCAAGCGAGCAAAGCTAAAGAGACTAGGAAAGAAAGAAAACAAAGACTGAGAAGAGAAGAGCTTAAAAATTGCACCCCAGCTTTTAAATCTATTGGCCGTGATGGAAAAATAAAGCATCCTCAGACTCCAGATATTGGCAAATATTCTCCAAATTATGATGCTTCCAAGCCAGTTAGAATGACTAACTTCGGTAAAAGATCTGCAAGAGATACTTTAAGTTACTTCTATAAGAGCGATCATCAGAGAGATAGTCGAGTTTGAGATCGTCTCATGAGAAGTTTGCAAAATAGGAAAGCAAGAGTGGAAATCATTAATAAAATTTTCAGAAAAAGAAACTCAAGTAGATTGTTTTATGAATTTATAGCCTCGAATCACAACGAAGGTAGAGTGTATAGATTTACGGAGAAGTTTATTAAAAATAAATTAAAAGATGTCCATAGTAAAGACAAGAATGAAGGTAGCATAAAACTTTGACAATTTAATAGGTGATAATAAAACTATTGATGAATATCGAAACAGATCCGGAAGTCAAACATTCCTCGATTTGCGTACAGGAGCTGATCATGCTTCAGGGAATTTAAAAATACATCAAATGAGAAGACAAACCACTCAGAGTTTTGATTTATTAACTCCAATGAAGGTGAGAGCAAAGGTTAAGACAGGAGATTCAACAACAAAGTAGGACTTTGAAATTTTCAGAAAAATAAAATTTAGAGTAATGATAGATCCAAAGCTACTTGGCCAGAACAAGAGAATTATCAAACCAACTTTCTCATCCACAAGCTTCTGTGAAAAAGAGAGTCGTCAGATATCTGAGAGGGATAAGGTGAAAAAGTCTCAGCCAAAATTGAAGATTAAGAAAAAGAGGCAAATCTCTAACGGTATTAGAATTTGAAATAAAAGCTTATCTAGAAAAGAAGTTCAAAACTCCGAATAAGTTTGCTATCACTAAAGCAGCTAGGTTTTATTCCCCAGGTACTTCTATATTATTTTCTGCTTGCTATTGGTTTAGCTCCTAGAGTCCATATTCAAAGTGTAAAGATGGCAAAGCAGATGGCGAGAGATACTAACTCTTTTCTTGAGATTCCGTAATTCTAAGATGTCATTATGTAGAACATACTGAGCCAATGATTATAGCATCAACCTTGATACAGTGATGGGAAAGCTGAATAGAGGGATGATTAACTTTAAAAAGCAGACAAAAAGAGGGGAGTTTAATTCTTTCTACAAAAAGTTTTCAGCCCCAGAACAATACAATTTAGAGTCGATTTCCAGTGCATATGACAAACTAGGGTACATCGGAAGCAATGTTCCTAAGGCTAAGCTTACTTTTGAATAATTCTTATTTCAACATTTTTGGTTGTGATGGGGTTTTGGGGTTTTGGGGTTTTGGGG